GATTTTTTCCGGCTGATCCCAGATCGGACTTGGGAGATCTCCGAACTAAAAACCCCTCCTTCTCCTTCTTCTGCTCTTCCCAATGCCGGTATGATTTCTCCGTAGTCTCTCTCGTTTCTTTTACTTTCTCAGTGCTCTTCACGCGGCGTTTAACTTCGCTATTCGTATTTAGATCGACAAGATCTTCAAAGATGAAGCTAGTGAAGAGAAGGGCGAACGTGCGAGGATGGTGAGTTTTTTGTTTTCTCTTTGATCGAGGATTTTGGGTTTTTCAGATTCACTCTACTGTTTGAATCTGATTTGGTTTATTTTTTTGCTGTTTAGTCATCATTTGTTGGTGCAATGGCTATATCTGACCTGGTTAAGACTACCTTAGGGCCAAAGGGAATGGTAAACTTCCGATCCCCAATTTTTATGAGCTCTTTAAAGTTCAATTTTGAGTCTTTTGATTGTTGCTGAATCTAATTGTTGTTCAGGATAAAATCTTGCAATCTACTGGTAGAGGTCATGCAGTTACTGTTACTAATGATGGTGCTACTATTCTTAAGTCACTACACATAGACAACCCTGCTGCTAAAGTTCTAATTGGTATGCAACACTCTGGCTTGTTCTTTCAAAATTCGTTTTTTTTGTTTGGTGGGTCTTTCTCACTTCTTGTATCTGATCTGATATTCAGACATCTCGAAAGTTCAAGATGATGAGGTTGGTGATGGGACTACTTCTGTTGTTGTTTTGGCTGGTGAGCTTCTTAGAGAAGCAGAAAAGCTTGTTGCTTCTAAGATTCACCCTATGACTATAATATCTGGTAAGATTTTGGTGCTTTTTAAGTGTGAAGATGACAAGATTGTATCAGATTGTTTCACTATGACAACGATATTTTCATTTTCTGGTTTCTTAGGTTACAGAATGGCTGCTGAATGTGGTCGTGATGCTTTACTAAAAAGAGTAATCGATAATAAGGAGAATCCAGGTAATCTTTATTATAGAGATGGTTAAACCTTGTTAGGCAGATATTTTAAAGTATAGCGTTCTCTTGTTTGTGTGATTCCTCTGAGATGGAAATCACACTGTTATTTACAGTACTGTGTTCTGTCAATGCAGAGAAGTTTAGGTCAGACTTGATCAAGATTGCGATGACTACGTTATGCTCCAAAATTCTCTCACAGGACAAGGAACATTTTGCAGAAATGGCTGTGGATGCTATTTTCAGGCTAAAGGTTCCATCTTTTTGAAACTCAGTCAGCAATGTTTTCCTTCCTTCTCTTTCGCTGGAATTTAAGTGTTAATTCATGATAGAGGAGCTATCTTTGACCAATGTCGTAAAAATTGGGTGGTGTCATTAAATTAATCAATTTCTCATTGTGCATGGTTTCGTTTTCGAGTGTTCTATGATTTCTCTCTGACATTCTACTGCTGTCGTTCAAATAGGGAAGCACAAACTTGGAAGCTATTCAAATCATCAAGAAACCTGGTGGGTCCCTTAAGGATTCCTTTTTGGATGAAGGGTAAGTCAGCACTTGTGACTTAACGGCTGTTCAAAATCTGTTTCCCTGCAGTGACTTAATTCACGATACTTTGTTCATCGTGTTATAACTCTCTTCACGATTAATCTGTTGTGTTTTGATTTCTTTCTACTTCATAGCTTGTGCACCTTTATATGTAATATAGTCCTACTTTAGAATGTTGATAGGGAATTACATCATTTTGTTATGTTATGCTCCTCTTTTGTGCATCCAGTAATCCTGTCTTATGACATCTTCACTTAAAAAATCTATGCCTTTAGGTTTATTCTTGACAAGAAGATAGGAATTGGGCAGCCAAAGCGCATAGAGAACGCAAAGATCTTGGTAGCAAATACTGCTATGGATACTGATAAAGTGAAAATATATGGTGCACGTGTCCGTGTGGATTCCATGACCAAGGTTGCTGAAATTGAAGGGGCTGAAAAGGAAAAGATGAAAGACAAGGTGAATAAGATCCTAGCCCACGGGATTAACTGCTTTGTTAACCGGCAGTTGATCTACAATTTCCCCGAGGAACTCTTTGCAGATGCTGGTGTACTTGCTATAGAGCATGCTGACTTTGAGGGAATAGAGCGTCTTGGTTTGGTTACAGGTGGTGAAATCGCTTCTACCTTTGACAACCCAGAGTCTGTTAAGCTTGGGCATTGCAAGCTCATTGAAGAAATTATGATTGGTGAAGACAAGTTGATCCATTTCTCTGGTGTTGCGATGGGCCAGGCTTGCTCCATTGTCCTGCGGGGTGCTAGGTATCCATTTTTTTCCGCTCCCACTGCTTAAAGATTTTATGTAGACTTGTCCTGTTTCCAGTTCACTCGTGACTATTTGTGTGGTTCCTTTGTTCTTGCAGTCACCATGTTCTAGATGAGGCTGAAAGATCTCTCCATGATGCCTTATGCGTACTCTCCCAAACAGTGAATGACTCTAGAGTCTTGCTTGGAGGTGGATGGCCAGAGATGGTGATGGCAAAGGAAGTAGATGAGCTTGCACGTAAAACCCCTGGCAAAAAATCGCATGCTATCGAAGCTTTCTCACGGGCTCTAGTGGCTATACCAACAACAATCGCTGACAATGCTGGTTTAGACAGTGCAGAATTGGTGGCTCAGCTTCGTGCAGAGCACCACAGTGAAGGGTGTAACTCGGGGATCGATGTCATCTCTGGATCTGTAAGTAAACTCTAAAAACAAAGCTAGGATCGGACATGGATTGTTAAGGTAGGACTTGAATTGTGATGATGATGGTTTTTGATTGTTTACAGGTAGGAGATATGGAGGAGAGAGGAATCTATGAAGCATTCAAAGTGAAACAAGCGGTTCTGCTTTCCGCAACCGAAGCAGCTGAGATGATACTGCGAGTGGATGATATCATTACATGTGCTCCTAGGAGGAGAGAAGACAGGATGTGAAAGCCGAACACATGAACATGGTGGGAGAGAGATTTCATGATTCCCACTGTCACACCCTCCCCAGTGATGATGTTCAATGCCATAGATTTGTGTTTTTTTCTTTTTCGATTTGGATTAGAAGAAACAACCTTAAATGTTTACTGTTTTTGCTACCTAAACTTATCTCCTTTGGCTTTTTGGGTTTTTTTGTTCAGAATATTGTTTTGATTATGATTTCAGAGGTTGGTTGTTCTATCCTTTTTTTTTTGTTTAGGATATTTTTTCACATTATTATTTACTTTTGTCTTTTAGATCTAATATATAAAATAGAAAAATCAGTGAAGTTATTTGGGAACAAAAAGAAAACTTCTATGTATTTGTAAAATTGATTAGATCATCTTACGTAAATTTCTTTTAAAAAGATATCTATCGGTCGTCACCTAAACTACAACGTTGAGGTGGTTCTGCGTTGTAAAGTTTGGTCAGCCGACCAAAACACATTATAAAAGCAGGGCAGAGCAGATCAAACACATGGGACCTTCGTAATCGCGAGCTTTACCAATTGTCTTACCAGAAAATCATGTTTCTTCGATTTTGTAACTTTATTTAGGATTTGGATTCAGTCGAAAGTATATCATGAGTTCATAGCTTTCAGTTTCTTTTACCAAAACAGTTAAAAGATAAGTACCAAAAAAAGGGGGTACAAGGAGTTTATCATGAAATTTAGTTGAAATAGTATAATCTTTTTACATGTTCAGAAAATTTTAATAATTTGTAAAGATTATGAAAGTCTGTCGACTGAATATGATTCCGTTGACAAAAATAAAAGAAGAAAAAATAGTAATCTGATCCGGACATGAATTCATAAGAGTCTACTGTCTAGTGACAAAGTCATTCATAGGTTTTACACACACACGTTTATAGCTGTTTACATATTATTAAGCTCACATGACTCTAAGTCGACAAAGTCATGATATTAATCCATGTAACTAGTCTTTAGCAAGTATTCATATAAATATAATGTTATGAAAATCATTGTAAAATATTGTCGCAAAGCAACTCTTCTTCTTCATCCCTGTAATTT